CTAGAAAGTCAGTATTGTAATTCTGTGAAAAATAATTGTAACACATTTAGCGGGCAAAGGGTTAATAAAAAGAGCTCTTACAAAATTAGTAAGGAAAAAGTGATAGTAGGAAACTAGGCTATCCACAATGTAAAAATTTTAAATGGCAAATAAATATGTGAAAAATACTATACTAAAAACTAAAGAAATACACAAAACAACTAAATGTCATTATTCATTAATAAAAAGTTAAAGGATTGATTAAAATCAAATGTCAGTGAGGGTAGCTGAGATTTATTTTTATGTTATAAATCATTCCAAAACTCAGAAGCTTAAAACAAGAAGCATTTACCAGCTCACAAGTCTAAAGTTTAGCTGGGCATTCTTGTCTGCACCACATCCAGCGGACCATGGGTCTGGCTGGGCCTGCTCACGTGCTGTGGCCAGCTGGAGGGTTGCCTGGCAACCTGCTGGTCTGGGCTGGTCTCACCTGAGATGGCTCTGCTCTGCTCCATGTGGTCTCTCGTCCTCCAGCAGGCTAGCCTGGGCTCCCTCACATGGCAGCTATGGCTGGAATCCCAAGAATGAAAGCAGGAGCTGCAAAGTGTCTTGAGGCCTAGGCCCAGAGCTTGCATAACATCGCTTCTGCCACCGGCTAGCTGGCCAAACCAAGTCATAAGGCCTGTCCAAAAAGATCTCTTGATGGGAGGAAGTACAAAGTATTGTGGCCAATTCTGTAATCAAATAGCAAGAATGAGGAAAATGGACATTTTCTTGCTCTATAGGTGTGGTCATAAACTGATAAAATCATTCATGAATAAAGTTTGCCAATATCTAATAAAAGTCTTAAAAATCTCCATACCTTTTGATCCATGTTTAAGAATTTATTCAAAGTTACTGATTTGAAAAGTAGGTAGAGAAGAGTGTATCAGAATGTTCATCACATCACTGTTTATAATAGCAAAACATTTGAGAAAAGTTAACTATCCAATGAAAAGAGATTGTTTATATGGATATAAACCATCTATAGAGTAGAGGACCATGCCGCCATGTAAAACAATGACATATGACTATATTCACTGATGCATAAAGACAAGTAAAGAAAGCAGGTTACAAAGAGCATGTTTCCTATAATCTTACTTTGGACTTTCAATTTCTATTTTATATCTTTCTGTATCATGCAGGTTTTTGTTTTGTTTTCGTTCTGCTTGGGCTTTTTTGTTCAGTTGGGGGTCTTTAATTTTTATTTTATTTTAAGCTATGAGTTTTAACATCTGCATAGATTTATGTAACCTAGATAACCTGCACAGCTAGATTACAGAGCAGTTCCGTTGTCCCAAAAATTATCTTGTGCAGGCTCTTTGTAACCACATCCTCACACCACTCCTCAGAGTTTCTCGGTCTTGTTGGAAATCATTTCTTAATATGGATGTACCACAGGGTGTTTATCCATTCACCCCCAGAGGTCATCTAGATTATTTCCAGTTTGGAGTGATTATGAATAGAGCTCCTGTAAACATTTGTGTGCAGGTTTTTGTGTGAACATAAATTTTCGTTCCTCTGGGTTAAAAGTCCAAGAGTACAGTAGTTGGGTCATATGTTAAGTATATGTTTTGTTTTGTAAGAAACTGCCAAACTATTTTCCAGAACAGCTATACCATTTTATAATACCACCAGAAATGTATGAGAGATCCAGTTTCTCCACAACCTTGTCAGCTTACAGTATTATCACTTTTTATTATTGTTCTTTTAATAATGTGATATTTCATTATGATTTTAATTTACATTCTAATGGCTAATCATGTTGAATATGTTTTGTGTGCTTACTTGCCATTTCTGTTTTGGCAAAATACCTGCTCTTTTACCCATTTTCTAGTTGGATTGTCTTTGCACTTTTGTAAAAAAAAGTCAGTTTGCCATATTTGTGTGGCTCTGTTTCTTAACTCTTTATAATCTCTGTTGATTTATATGTTTATCTTTTTGCTACTATCACACTGTAGTGATTACTGTAGCTTTATACTACATCTTAAAGTCAGATAGTGGGAGTCTTCCAACTTTTTTTTTTTTCAAACTTGGTTTGGCTACTCTAGTTGCTGTATCTTTTCATGTAAATTTTAGAATCATCTTGTCTATATCTACAGTCTTCAAAATTTCTTTAAGGAGTTTGATTGAAATGGCATTAAACCTATAGGTCAATTTAGGGAGAACGCTAACTTGGTAATATGGAGTCTTCCAACTCCCTACCTTGGTATGTCTCCCCTCTTACTAAAGTTTTTAAAATTTGTTTGATCATATTTTGTAGTTTTCAATAAACATTTCCTGTACCTTTTGTTCAAAACTTATACTTAAGTATTTCAATTTTTAGAACTATGGGAAATAACAATTTTTTAATTCAATTTCCGATCACTTATGCCAATATGAATAAAATTAATTTGGGGGTGTTGATCGTATATCCTGCGACCGTGCTAAACTTATTACTTGTAGGAACTTTGCTTATAGATTACTTGAGATTTTCTATTTGGACAGGCATGTCATCTGTGACTAAGGAAAATTTTATTTCTTCTTTCCTAATCTATATGAAATTTTTTCTTGTTTTATTGTACTAGGTAGGACTACCAGTACAATGTTTATTAGGAGAAATTAGAGTGGACATCCATGTCTTGTTCCCAATCTCAGAGGAAAAGAATTCCATTTTTCACCATTAAATAATGCTACTAGGTGTAGAACTTTGGTAGATGCCCTTTATCAGATTAAGGAAGTTCCCTTCTATTCATAGTTTGTGGAGAGGTTTTATTACGAATAGATGTTAAATTTTGACAAATGCTTTTTCTGCATTAATTGATTTTCATCTTTTGGCCTTTCATCATGTGATTTTCTTCTTTGGCCTGCTAATATGGTGGATGACATGTATTAGTTGTCAAATATTAAACAGCCTTGAATTCCCAGAATAAACCACACTTGGTTGTGGTGTATTATTCTTTTACTCTATAACTGAATTTAGTTTTCTCATATTTTGTTGAGGATTTTTGTGTTCATAAAGAATATTGGTCTGCAGTGTTCTTACACTGTCTCACTCTAGTTTTGGTATAATGCTGGCCTCATAAAATGAGTATGAAACATTCACTATTCTTTTATTTTCTGAAGGATCTTGTGCAAAAATTCGTGTTATTTCTTTTCAAACATTTGTTAGAATTTTGCAGTGAAACCACCTGGATGTGGCATTTGTTTATTTGTTGGTTTGCTTTTGGAATATTATGAGCTACAAATTTAGTTTCAGAAATAGATATAGGAAGATTCAGGTTATCTACTCCTCTGGTGAGTTTTGGTAGTTTGCAGCTTTCGAGGAATTGGTATATTTCACCCAAGTTGTAGAATTTATGTAAATAGAGTTGTTTGTATTCCCTTACTGTTATTTTAATATATATGGGGGTTGTAGTGATATCACCCATTTCATTTATGATAGTGGTGTCTTGATTCTGATTTGTATCAATTTTACTGGTATTTTCAAAGAACCAGCTTTTGGTTTCATTGATTATTCTCTCACTAATTTCTTCAAATGTTTTTTCTGCACTACACTATTTCTCCTCTCCTTCTGGTATCTCAATGACATGAATGTTTGACCTTTAGGTGTTGTCCCACAGATCCCTGTGACTCTATTTACTTTTTCTCTCTGTTGTTCATATCGGATAATTTTTGTTAATCTGTGTTCAAGTTCACTGAATCTTTCCTCTGTTATCTCTATTATGTCACTGAGCACATCCAGAGAATTTTTGAAACTGTCATATTTTTCAGTTCTAAAAGTTATTTACATCTTTTAATTTTTTGCTGATATTTTGTGTCTTTACATTTATTTAAAGACTGTTTCCCTCACTTTTTTGAGCATGACTATTTTAAAGTCTTTGGCTGACAATTCCAAAATCTGTGTCACCCTGTGATTAACCTCTGCTGATTATCTTTTCCTTTTCAAGTTGAGATTTTCATAGGTCTTCCTATGCTGTGGAGTAATTTTAGATTGTAGCCTCTGCAATACTGTACAGATCTGCCCTGCACATGCACCACCCAGTGGTTCATCTGAGCATTGGTCTATCCCATAGTTGAGTTCTCAAAGATTGTGGCATGACATTTAGGATGAGATCCAAGCATACGCAATTCAGAGGTGACCACAAGAGTTCATTCATAACTTTATGGATTTGCTTTCTTGAGCTCCCTCCTCTTCACAATCCACTTTCCAGTGCTCTGGCCAAAAAGCTGGGGCTTTAGTTTTTCCACTCTGCCAGGAGCTTCTCACAACTCTGTCTGCTTCTGAAGCCAATTAGTGAGAACAGGGAGAGAGAAAAAGACAGTAAGAATTTGCTCCCACACTCTTGGGAACCATAGTTTCTCTGATGCCCTCCCTCAAAGACTCAGGCATCTATCTGGCCACCAAAATAACTCCTTACTGCTACCAATTGGATTTTCTGGGGGATGCGTGGAGAGAAAACAGAAAGGGGGGACAAGAAGGGGTTTCCCCCACTCTTTTACTCTTAGAGGTTCTCTTTCTCGCTCCACCAACCAGACAGAATGGCTTCTCTTGGAGCATTTATTCTCTGCACCCATGTGCACCTCTGGGTCTGGGGCTGCCATTGAGTCCAGTCTAAGTATTACCACGGGGGGTGGGGGAAGGGACTGGACTCACTGCCAATTTGGTGATGCTTTAAATTCTAATCTCCTTCCCCAGTATTCTTTCTGTCATTTACTTTAGCGTCCTCAAATAGTTGCCCCCTGCATTCTTTCCAAGGTTTATATTTGCATTCAGTGGGAGAGAAAAGGTGGAATGTGCTTACTCAGTCTTGCCTAGATCTGGAAACTGCTTTTTTTTGTTTGTTTGTTTATTTGTTTAAAAAAACAACAACAAGAATTTCGGTGATAGTCAAGAAAGCTCTAAAACCAATTGTGTTTTGTTGTTCAAACGTCTGTCATGAGATGTTGCACCATTTCCTAGTAATGTCTGGATGAGAATGTCCCCTCCTATTTCCTTACAGGGACACAGCTGACCGTGGAGGTCCACCCTCGAGATGCCATGCCCCAGATGCTCAAGAAGTTTTCCTTGGCTAAACGTACGTACGTATAGGGCTGCTTGTGTGTGGAGGGCTGGCAGGGAGGACTGAGGGCCACTTAATGGGCCAGACAGAGCCCAGCCTGGACGTGTGCTGGGGTAAGGAGAGGAGTGGCCTGGTCCTACGCGCTGGAAAGAGGCAAAGGTACGACAGCTTCGTGCTTGGGTTCTCTTTCTTCCCCACACCCAATAATCACTGTTCTTGAGTGTCTACAGTCAGGCAAGGGTAAAAAGGCATTTAGCTAAAGATGAATTTCATCACAAGAGTGTTATTGTTTTTAGATATCACTTATTGACTATCTAAAAAGTAGCATGTACCATGCTAAGTTTCTTACATTCATTAACTTTTTAACCCTTTGACATATACCAGTATTATCCCCACTTTTATATCAGCAAAGTGGGGCTCAGCAATGTGAAATAACTGCCCAAATGACCAGCTAGGAAGAGGGTCAGCACCCAGGTCCAGCTGAGGCCTGTGCTCCTACCCACCACACTTGGATGTCCTCCATGCAGTATGCACATGCCCAGGCCCACGATGTCTCCTCCACTCCCTCTTTGGTCTTCTCCCTGCATCTGTCCATCTGGTGGCTAAAAAGGGCCTATGGAAATGCCAGCCAAGGAACAGAGGCTGCAGAGCAGCCAAGGCTCAGGTTCTCTCCGAGTGCACCCAGTGAGCCAAGGCAGACCCTCCAAGTCCTCCTGGTCCTCAAGCAGTCAGGGCCTCAGGAGGGCAGCCAAATGTAGAGAGGACAGGCCCTGGCAATCAACTGGCTGGGCAAAGTGGTTTAACCTCTCTTTTGGACTCAATTTCCTCATCTACAAAAGGAGGACAGTAATTCAGTGTCTCTCGTGGGATTCTCGTGAAGTTAAATAAGATAATCAATGTAAAGCATAAGCCAGGCAAGTAAGTACACAAGAAATGCTAGCTTCTATTTTGAACCCCCATTATTCTACCAAAGAAGGTAGATGGAAAGAAAATGCAGATGGAAAGAAAATGTAGGTGCAAGAAAAGGCCCACTGTTACTCAGAATGGCCTGCATATATCTGCAACCTTCTGTTGTTACATTTACAACCTACAGTGGGCTTCAAGGGCAGGAAACAACCTGTCTTGGCACCCTGTCCCCTGCCCCCAGCTCCTCCTGGTTCCATCAGAGACCCACATCTTCCTGACCTGGTTTCAGATCAGCAGGAGGAATTCCTCTCCTGCTGCCCATGGAGTCAAAGAATTATTGGTGACCATTCTGCCTTAACGGTCCTGGATTTATAGGATTTGATTGCCCTTGAACCTTCCCAGGGAATAATTTAATAATTGCTTGGCCTTTCTTGAGTTTAGCTCCATACAAATCACTTTCCCCTCGCCCCTTTCACGTCTGTCCACGGTCAGTCTTCGCCTGGGGTTATGTGACCTGAATCTGCGGTGCTCTCAGCACCCCCAGCCGCATTGCAGGGTGGCAGGGGAACATGGGGGAGGGCGGGAGCAGCAGGCTCCAGGCGAGCCCACTGAATAACCCAGTGTTGCTGTGGGAGGAAATGCTGCCTCTGCTCTCAGACTGCATGTGTCTTTCTTGTTATCCATCCCCGGTTCCCACTCCTCCCTCTGCCCCACCAGGAAGTCCAGGGCCATTACAGCAGCAGTTTGGTTGGGCGTGGGGATGGGAGCAAGAAGGCTCTGAGGAGAGTGAAGGGGAGGGGCCAGAAGCAACGGCCACCACACAGAGAATCATCTGTGCTTGCATTTCTGTTTCTTCTGAAGTGTCTCTACATATTGACCTTTGGGATATTGTAGGTTTACAAGGTGATAAAAATGGAAACACAAGACCCCGGCAGCCTGGAGGGAAAGATGCCCATGGTAAGTTGCAGGGCCTTCTCTGGGGCAGTTCTCTGAGACATAGAATTGATTTAGCCTCATGGGGAATCTCCAGTCAATTGAAAATGGCTCCTTGGATTACTGAGATGAGAGTCCAGGGCCACCTCTGGGCTCCGCAGGGGAGGAGTATTGTAATTGATTAGTAACGTTTGCCATGGACACGGGGAGAAGTGAAAAGCTCACAAACCAGATGTGAGCCCAAAGCTAAAGCACAAACGCCACCAGTAACAAGGCAGCCCATTATGGGAAACATACTAAAGCAAGAATCTAGAATTGTATTAGCTTTAAATAGAATGCCGATCATATGTAAGGTTTGAGGAAGGTCAATAAGCAGAGTGGGCCAGAGGTAGAAACCCTGAATGGAGTGATAGACAGCCTGGGTTTGAATCCTGCTTTTGTTTCTCATGAGCCTCAGTTTCCCCCTCAGAAGACCAGGTAGCATCTAAGGTTTGGTACAGCCTGGCACTCCTTCCCATTGTTTTGCTTTAAAATTAGAATAATTTAGTCAATGCCACTGGTATTTTAAATTATTTGTGCAAAATTATGTTTGGATTTATAGAATCTGCTCAGAAGGTAAGCTTAATGAGGCATAAATCATTATGGTTAATTTTAATGCTCAGATATTATAAAATAGAACCAAGAAAAGGTAAAACCAGTAATAGGGTTTTCAGTTTCATTTTAGAAATGCCATCTTTCTTCTAAATGGGGGCAGGGAGACCTCATTTGCAGGGCTGTACTGAGCAGAAATTGTTCAGTGTGTAAGTCCCCTTCATATCCACTTAGGTCACCCTGACGGCCCTCGTCAGGCAGTGGCAGGAGCCAGATTCCGTGGAGGGAGGGAGAGGGCACTGAGGAGCGGGAAGCTCGGCAGGGCCTGCCACCGTGTCCCCATGCCCTTCTGAGGCTGGGCCAGGGCTGCAGTCAGACCACATGGACAGGGACTGCTGGCGACCTGAGTAATGGGAGACAAGAAGCCCCAGCTCCGGCACAAGAGCGGCAACCACAATGGTGCTGGGCAGCAGGATTTGAGGTGCAGACGCAATGTCTTAGTCCTTTTAGAAGGAGCAGAAGAAGAAAGAAAATGCTAGGTTCCTGGGTGAGGCTAGCTTCCTGGTAGGGTCTGCGCTGCCTGCCTGCCTGCCTACCATACGTCCTGTCCCCTCTTAGGAGAGGAACAGCCTTCAGATCCTGGATGTCAGAGCACGTGATCTGGCGAGAACCCAGCCAGAGGCTTGAGGCCAAAGGGACCAGCCCCCCAGGGGCTGCTGCAGTGTGACAGCAGGGAGCAAGGGAGCTGAGTGAGGTGGCCTTTGGGAAGGTGCCAAATCCAGCCTGGAGTTGAGAAGGAGGAAGGCCTGGTTCCTAACAGGAAGGGGCCTTCGAGCCATGGGGAATGCAGAAGGATCCATGTGGCCTGTCCCGGACAGCTAACCTGGACTAGCTGCCTAACCAGCTGGCACAGCCTCTCCTCTAGAGAGGGCCCTGGAGCAGCTCAGGCCAGAGCTGGTGGTGACACCGCATCCCCACCTTCTCACCATGCCTCTTGGGTCTGTGGCACCAGGGTATGGAATGCTCACAGCCTTGCCGGGTGTGCGGGCAAATGCGCAGGGCAGAGGCTTCATACCCATTTTCCTGCCCTTGCCTGCAGAGGACCCCATCCTACACCCTCCAGGAGCAGAGTGACACTGACCACTGACCTTACAACATGACCCACCATCTCGTTCGCCCTCCCAGGTGCCCCATAGATGTGTGCCTGAGACCCCATGGCTGAGTTTACCACACCCCAGAGATTGGGTCCCAACTAGAACTCATGTCTTGTGCCACCCCACTAGGCACTTTCCCGCATCACTCTACTCTTCCTGGGCTGCCGCTGCCCCCTGGTGCCCCACCAGCATCCCCTCCTCACCCAACACTTGGAAGCTCCTAAGATGGTCGGCTGAGAGGGTGGGGAGTCCACATGAGTCAGGGAGTTCATGGCCCCATCCTTCTCTCACCTTCTCCCTGTCCTCCCACCCAACTTGCCTGATTTTGGTCAGCTTGGCTCAGGGGGCCTTGAAGAAGAAGACCCTGCCAGAGCCCAGGCTCTCCTCTGGGCTAGGACAGGGGTTTGCTGCCCATCCATCAGTCGGTCCCACCACTGGTCATTTAGCCCTACGGCATCTGACTGGACCTGTCCTGTGTCCAGGCTTGCTATGAGAAAGATTCTGGGGCACAGCCTCCCCACAGTACCTTGGGTGCCTGTTATCAGAATATGTGGCTTCCTTGGGGTGCTCCAGGCTCCGGCTAACCAAGGACAGGGGAGAGAGCCTATCTGGGTGCCAAACCCTATTCAACCTACAGAGGCCCAGATGACCTGGCTCCATGATGCCCTCTTCGCACACCCAGAATGCTCTGTGGCACCATGGCCATGGCGCAGACCTTCCCTCCTCAAGCTCATGGGGGGCTAACAGCTTGGCGTGGGCACTTCCCACAGAGCACTCATTCCTAGGATAGTTAGGAGGGATTCTGCAGAAAACTAAATGGTGGGGAGAAGGGAATTTCATCATCAGTCTGTCAGGGGACTGCTGAGTGAATTGAGGTGAAACCAGTTTCTTTACTGATGGTTTCTTAGGGTCAGCAAATAGGCTTATGTTCCTTGTGAATCTCCAAGAGGACTGGAGGAGTTGCCATAGTTCTCAAACCAATTTGACCAAAGAACTTTTCTAGAAGCTAATAGTTGTTGGGAGCAGAGTTTCTCGCTCTGGGAATCATGTTGAAGGTTGGGCAGTCCCAGCTTCTCAAAGAGACAGGGAGCCCTGGGCCAGGCAGCCCTTGTCAGCAGTCTCAGCAGCTGACCAAGCCTCCGTGTTTCCAGCCTACCCCTGGGATCGGTCCAGCCTGAAATCCATGCCCCTGGACTTGCGACAGTTTGAGAAACTGGACGCCTATGCCTCACAGGTAGGAAAGCTGACCCCTCTGCCTACAGGTCCCCCGGTGTGGCTTAAAGTTCTCCAGGCCAGGGTAACATGGCCTTTCCCCTGGTCCCTCCTGAATGTATCTGAGTCCCGTGGATGGTTGGCCCAGAGTGCCTTTTCACAGTGTATGGAAGGGGGACAGAAGGCCCAAGGCTGCAGGCCCCTGCCCAGGACCAAAGGCCGTTCCATCCCTCCGACCCCCACCCTTGACTCTGATGCTTCCACCAAAGGCTGCTCACCCTGCAACCGCCCCAATGGCAGGCCCCTCTGGCCAGCAGTATCCTGCTCTCTCTATGCCCATTTGGGCATTGCTACTACTGAGCTATGCCATCCCCAACCCAGGAAGGAATGGAGCAAGAGGGTTGGGGAGGACCACAGATGCAGCTGGCCAGCTCCCACTGTGCCCATAGTCAAGTTCATCCCTTGAGCACATAGGCTGCTAAGCTCTCACATCTCTGGGCCTGGGCACATGTGGAATGGGGTTGGAGAGGAGCAGCTGTAAGAGCTGAGGTACTAGGGGCACACCGAGGTCATGGGAGCCGAACAGGACTCTCGCCACAGAGTCTGATTGGAAGGGCCAAGGAGCTGGACCTGCTGGTGACGTCAGAGTGAGCCTCCTAGGCTGGTAAGCTGGGAGGTCATCTACAGGCTGCTGGCCAGGCTCCAAGAGCAGTGCAGGAGGCCAGCTGAGGCCAGAGACATAGCTACGGAGCAGTGGACAGCCAGAGCCAGCCAGGCCCAGGGAGCGCCAGGGGTGGGACCAGTGGACCAGAAGCCACGGGACTGAAGTTCTGGGTTAAATCAGGAATCATCCAGGCCATAGTATGGGCCTGCAATGTGTTCTAGGCCCTGGGAGAGGGACAAAAACAGGGACTGTGGATTTGTACCTGGACGTAGGAGAAAAACAAGCAGAGAGCAGCAGGGCAAGTGGGAGACAGAAGAGGGACCCAGGGGTCTCTATGTGGAGCCCCAGAGTCCCAATGTGAGCAGTGGAACAGTTCCAGGATAGGATAGGTCAAGGAGTATCCTAGTGTAGGGTGAGGGACATGGGCAACTATGGCCCAACTGAGCATTCAGTTGCTCAGCTTCTCTAGGGAGATGGAATAAAGTCAGGGCTGCCTTGCCAGCAACTCCAACCCTGATTTCCCCTGAGGTCCCCTGTAAGAAAACCTAATTTCTTCTTTTTCTAAATTGTGGTAAAATATATATCACATAACATTGCCATTTTAATCATTTTTAAGTGGCATTAATTATTTTCACAATATTGTACAACCCTTACCGCTATCTACTTCCAAAATTAGAAACTCTGTACCCACTAAGCAGTAGCCCCCTATTCTCCCTCCCCTAAGCCCCTGATAACATCTAATTTACTTACTGTCTATGAATTTACCGATTCTAGATATTTCATATAAGTGGAATCATACAATATGCATCTTTTTATGGCTGACTTCTTTCACTTAGCATCATGTTTTCAAAGTGCATGTTGTAACATGCATCAGGATTTCATTCCTTTTAATAGATTAATAATATTTCATTATATGGATCCATCACATTTTATTCACCTATTCATCTGTGATGGACACTTGGGTTGCTTCTAACTTTAGCTATTGTGAATAATGCTACAATGAACATTTGTGAGCAAGCATCTGTTTGAGTCCCTGCCTTCAGTTCTTTTGTGTATGTACCTAGGGGTGGAATTACTGGATCATACAGTAATTCTGTTTAACTTCTTGAGGAACTGCCAGACCGTTTTCCACAACAGCTGCACCATTTTACATTCCCACCAACAATGTACAAGGTTCTTTCTAATTTCTCTGTATTCTTGCCAATACTTTTTGTCTATCTTTTTGACTATAGTCATCCTAGTAGGTGTGAAGTGGTACCTCCTTGTGGTTTTGATTTGCATTTCCCTAGTGACTAATGATGTTGAGCATCTTTTCATCTACTTATTGGCCATTTATATATCTTTGGAGAAATGTATATTCAAGTCCTTTGCCCATTTTAAAATTGGGAGCAAGGGCGCTTTATTGTTAAGTTGTAGGAGTTCTTTATATGTTCTGGATATTAAACCCATATCAGATATATAATTTGCAAATATTTTTTCCCTTTCTGTAAGTTGTCTTTTCACTTTCTTAACAATGTCCTTTGATGCACAGAAGTTTTTTTTATTATTATGAAGCCCAATTAATCTGTCTTTTCTTTTGTACCTTCTGCTTTTGTGATATCTAAGAGTCCATTGCCAAACCCAAAGCCATGATGATTTACTGACCCTGCATTTTCTTCTAAGAGTTTTATAGTTTAAGTTATTGTGTTTAGTCATTTGTCTTTTTTGAGTTAGTTTTTTATATGGTGTGAGGTAGGGGTCCAGCTTTATTCTTTTGCATGTGGGTATGCAGTTGTTCAATGCCATTTGTTAAAGAGGCTATTCTTTCTGCTGCTGAATGGACTTGGCACCCTTGTCAAAATTCAGTTAGTCATAGGTGTATTATGAGTTTATTTCTGAACTCTCAATTCTATTCCATTGGTCTGTATGACATCCTTATGTCAGTACCACACTGTTTTGATTATTGTAGCTTTGTACTAAGTTTTGAAGTACAGAAATGTGAGTCCTCCAACTTTGTTATTTTTTTTGTCCAAAATTGTTTTGGCTATTCCAGCCCCTTGCAATTCTATATGAATTTGAGGGTTGGCTTTTCCATTTCTGCATAAAAAAGGATGTTGGAATTTTATAGAGATTGTGTTAAATCTGTAGATTGCTTTGGGTAGTATTGACCATGATTAGACGCTGCTACATCCACACAGATACCCACCTGGCTGGCCCCAAAAATCTACAAAGAAGTAGTGGTTCTAGGGCCAGTGAGAAGCTGGTCAGCACTACCCACCGTGTCCAGCCCCCCTGCCCCCCATGGGTTGCCCTCAGCCCAGCCTTTGTCCCCCTGGACCTGTCCCCCTGCTTCTCTGCCTGGAAGAAAGGCAGCGCACTGGCTGCCGGTAGCAGGACGCTGGGCTCCCCACAGCCCTCACCCAGGCCCTGACACAGCCCACCCCTCCCCCTCCAGGTGACTGTCAAGAGTGGCTTGGACGAGCTGATGGATGACCTGCTCCAGGAGGCCCACAGTGACCTAGAGAGGGTCCGTGCGATCTGGATCTGGATCTGCCACCACATAGGTAGGATCACCTAGGATGCTACTGGTTCCAGGGCCCCTCAGTGCCACTCCTTGCAGACCCCTGTTCCCAGGGCAGTATCTCTGGGACTCACTCAATCATCAGTGAGTGTGGAATGAGAGAAAAGGTGGAGGACAGAGGTCCCAGATGGGTAGATGGAATAACCTAAGACTAACTAAGCAGAGTAAAAGCCATCATGTGCTAACAGTCGCCATGGAGGGTCATTGGAAAGGGGAGGGGGTCCCCCGTGACCCTCTGCTCACAGCCAGTGGCCAGAGCTGAGGTCCTTTACCCAGCAGCCACCTTCTCTCAGTCCTGGCCTCCTGGGAAACCTGCTCCAGAGACATGAGAATGCAGGACAAAAGGTCATCTCAAAAAATGGTGACCATCCGTTGGGGAGGAGTCATAGCTGTTTGAAAAGTTGTTGCAGCAAGAGATGGCTTAAGGTGGCACGCCAGGAAGGGTGGGCTCTCCTCTGCCTGTCCCTGTTCCCACACTGGCGGCTTTGGTCACCAGGCTCAGCCCAGTCTCCAGGTTCTCAGGGCCACCTCAGGGGACTTAAGCCTGTGCAGCTGCCTACGGCTCTTCACAGGACAACCTTGGGAGTCTGGCCAGGTCAAGCCCAGCCCCACAGGTGGTGGCTAAGAGGATAATGGATGCTGCCCCTTGCAGCTGATGGAAGAACCAGGTGGTGGGTGGATTTTTAGTGCCTTCTCTGTTATCTAACAACCAAGGGGGGTCTCCTGACCTGCTACCACTGGGCTTTTCCTTTGTCCTCCCAAAGCAGCAGTTAGAGATGCAGCTTAGAATGAACTCACCTAACACAGGTAGGCGGCCACCTGCTCCCACCTCAACCCCAGCAGCTCAACCTGGGCCTTAAGGGGGCAGAATCAGGACCAGAATATTTGGTAGGACTTTTTCACTGCACACACATATCCTTTCTGCCTTCAGTGGCCACTGTGCCTCAGGGCCTTGTCACAGGCCTCATCTCTCTTGTTAGGGAGGTAACAGGCTGTAGGAGAGCAGTTTTCACCACTTGGGGCCAGCTCTGATGGTAGCTCAGTGCGTCCCCTGTGGGTCAGGGTGAAGCCTTGGCTTTGGGAGCCACAGCAGGCACAGGAGCAGCCTCACTGGATGGGCCTGCAGAGCTTTGTGGGGGGGACAAGTGGGCAAAGACCCCGTCCCCAGTGCTTCTCCCAGGCCCCAGGGAGGCGAGCCCAAATGCTGCCAAAAGCATGGCCGAGGGCGGGGGCCATGCCATGGGCTGTGGACCCCCTCTCTTCTCTGCACCTGGTTCCTCACGGCCTCCTACTCTGCCCTTCAGAATACGACATCGAGGCTGCCCAGGAGAAGGACCGCCAGGCCTTCAAACCCAGCAACATCCTGCGAACCCAGAAGACCAACTGTGATGGCTACGCTGGGCTCTTTGAGAGAATGTGCAGGTATCACAAAAGGGTCCTGTGAAAGGCAGGCCGACCAGGCCGACCCATCCCTTCCACCCATCCCCTCTTCCTTCCAAAGTGCTGTGTTCCTTCGCCCACATGCCAGCCCTCAAACCTGAGTTTGCAAACTCTGCTCTGGAATCCAAGTGAGTCCTGAAAAGGTCAATTTCTCCCATTTTAACACCAGCATAATTGACTTTGTACCATCTGCCGGGCTTCGCGATGCATTAACATAATGGCAGATGAATGCACAGAGATAATTTGGTTACAAAAGGCCCTTTTTCCACCTTCTCCCATCTCTGTGCAGCTGAAGGTTAGGAGAATGGCAGATTTGGGAACGGGAGGACAGTGACTGCTGACGCCAAGGGGACTGCGAAAGGCTTGTCCTCAAGTCTGGCTCGGGGGCCCTCTCTCAGGGAAAACAAAAAAATCCCCTACCCGAAAAGATTAGTCACTTGGAAAAGCTGAATAGCTAGGAAGCAGCGTCTCTCCTGGAGCCTTTGGGCTCCATTCTTGTTGCTCTGGGAGTGAGCACCTGGCCAGGTTGCCTGGGTGTTGACAGCAGCTGAGTGGCTGGTAAGGAAACCGTTTGCGTTTGGAGTCATCATTGCTGGTTCTGGGTGACCTCAAAAGGGACTCAAGGTCAGGGGAGCCCCCTAACCCCCACAGCTTCCTGTACTTGCTCTCCGAAGTCTGCTGGGTTCCCCAGCAAACAGCCAGCCAGCCCTGGGGGCCACTGAAAAGCCCCCTCACAGGGGAGGGGTGGACTGCCGTCCTCTGTCTCTGCAGGCCTCTGGGAGTGGGTCTTCTCACCACCCAGATGTCAGCCCCCAGGACTGCAGGTGGCGAGTCATCAAACGAAATGTAGCAACAAATACTTAGAGTCCACAGGCGGGTAGGTGCGATGTGTCCGTGTCTCACAGGTGGATGCAGGATGTTCCACTCTATTAGAATATCCACGCCACTGATTCTGGGCCTGGCCCCCGTGGTTTCCCTCCGGCCCACCCCCCATTCCCACCACCGTGTGCCTGCCTCCGTGTTGCACTGACTCTCCTGCTCTTCCCTTCCCCTGCCTCCAAGGCCCTCCCCTGAGACCACAGCCCCAGAGGCGACCAGGGCAGGGTGCAGAGAACACCCGCCCCTCCCCTCCCCATTCACTCCACCAGGGAGCAGCCCTCACCACCGCGAGCATTCCCACTGCCCCCCTCACCCCAGACCTAGGTGTCCGCATCTGCCTCTGCGCCTCTCCAGCCCCCGGCCCAGCCTCCCCAGGCCCCAGGTTCCTGAACAAGACTGTCCTGTAAAGTCCTCCAAAATCCGACCCCAGCCGCCCTTCCAGCCCTGCACCCTTTGAGGCCACCTGCACGTCCAGCTCAGTCCGCCCCCCTCTCCCTGCTGTTCCCTCCAGGCCCCACCCCCAGACGCCCACCACCTTCCCCTCCCTTGATCATCACACCTTACCCACAAACTCATGCCTTATGCTTTTATTGAATGTTTTCTAAATTTAAAATATATTTGTTAATTGTAGGTGACTTACAAAGAACATAGAAGCAAATTAAATTACTCTGAATCCTACCACATAGAGACAACATTTTGCCATATTCCTTTCTGGTCTTTGTTCTACCATTGAGGTGTTACCTGTGCTCATTTCTTCTCCTATGTGTATGGGTCTTACCCGTCTTCATATGTAATTAGCCTCTCTCTTTCTCTCTGCTTCCCCTGTGACCATCCATCTCAGAATCCTACACACAATAGGCCCTCAAAGACAGGAGAGGATAGGCTATTCCAGCAAATTTGTACAAAGTGAACCTTATTCTCTTTGTGAATATAGAATAACCATCAATCCGTCTTCAGCTCTATTTTGTGTGTAGCAACATTCAGACCATAAGTATTTTCATCTGAATCTGCAAATCTGAAAACACTTGGGGTTTTTAAGTCATAGAATATATCTGTCTCTCTCCAGTATACATGTCTCTATCCAGTACAAGCTTTCTAGAATGGTATAGGAAGAGTGCCGGGTTTAAAGCCAGAAAGACTTCCCCAGTCCTCAGGTTACCAGTCCTTAACTTACCACTTACTAGTTTTGTTCTTTGTGGAAGTCACTTAACCTCTCAGAGCCTCAGTTTCCTCATCTGTACACTGGGACTGTGTTGCCTACTGGCAGGACTATAGGACTAAATGAGAATATGCAGTTTGGGGTTTGCCAACCTGACTTTGGGATTGTTTTTTTTCAAGTTTTCTTGTCTTTCTTGAGCACTGGAGTGCTTTTGCTCTGTGGAATTTTCCTACAGACCTATGTAGACTCCCAGAGACTCAGAAAATTGACACTTGCCTTGAGTGAAACTGTCAGCTTTTTGGCCTGATCCATATGCTTAACAATGGCCATATTCTGGCCTGCAGCTCATCATTAAAACACATTCAACATTTTGCATCATTTAAAGTTAGGTGCCAACCTGGCAGTTATTGTGGGCAAGACTCCTCACATTGCCCGGGATGTTTAACAATACCTCACACTTCCTTGAATTTCTTTAACTTTTGCTTTAAAGATCAGTAACCTCATCTATGCATCACTTCCCTAATTCCCCTTAACTTTAAAATAACTGCCAAAGGTTTGGTAAATTCATTAGCTGATTCCTTAATAACTGAAGACATGTAATCCACGCTTGCTGATTTATCCCCACTCGGTTGTCAGAATGTTCTCTCAGCAAGAGTTGTACCCACACAGCCATCATTGCTGCTGCCAGTCCATTCTGCCTCCCTGCAATGACCTCATTAACAACTGATTTAATAAAGTAATTTGGTGGGGAATTCAGATATTTTCACAACATCACTCATTTCCTCATCTGCTTTCCCAAGTAACCGATGTAGGTTATTTGTTGATGCTATTGCTTGTAACTGCTGGTCCACTTTCCTTCAGACTCTCCATCACCCAGCATTAATGTCTTTTCTTTTGCCTTAATTGTCACAGCCTTAATGAATTCTGCTTAATTTCCTTTCAGGGCCAAGCTTAATTCCCCAGGTTCCTGCCACTGAGTCAGCCTCCAGTACGTTCCCTTGCCCTGTTATCACAGCTCTTGCACCAGCTAGCAGATTTTTCAGAGACTTATGATAAAGCCAGGAGCTTATTACCAGTTTGAGGCTCTGACGCTGAGGGCATTGGTTGTCGCCAGTCAGATGTCAGTCAGTTTCCCATCCATCCTTCAGCTGTCACACAGAGCAAGCACAGCGACATGCTTCTGCTTCACATGATGTCCCGGATAAGCCCAAAACATCTCTTGTTTCCAAAGGCCACAAAGCTGAGGAGTGGTTCCCTTGGCTTCCCGAGAGAGGCAGCTACATTGGATAACCTTAAATTATCCCCCAATCTGACTTTGTCATGTAAGGCCTCCAAAAGAGACATCTGAACTCGCCCACCCTTATAGATGCATCAAAGGATAGGGCTCACAAATATGAGTTACATCACTATAGCATGCCCCTCCCTTTAATTTTGCTCTGTATACCACCACTACATTAAAAAATTAAAATATATCTTGGTGTACAAAGGGCTGGTAGAAGGCAAAGCCCCCCAAATGGGGCGTTAGGACAACTGAACCCTGGTGGTGTTTTGGCCACCGACTGGCTCTGTGTCCCCAGGCAAGTCAGCCTCCTTCTCTGAACCTCTGTCTCCTCACCTGTCGGAGAGGGTGCCCCTGAGGTCACACCTCAAGAGGCTCCAAACAGGGCCTTCCAGAGAGAATTATTACTGTGATTACACTTACAGGCCTCACCATAAGGGCGATGTAAGAAAAGCGAAGCAGATAGAAATATGAAGATGCTCTCAAATTTACGAGAATCAACAACTTAAATTGGGAAACATAAGTCATGGCTATGCTTGTCCCACTGCAGGTGGAAACCACACTATTTTTTGGTCAGTTTAGAATTTATCTTTATTACAATAATAAATAATATTAACCTTCTTGAGGACCAACGTGTGGGGAACAGAAAGGCCCTAAGACTTCTAAATCACATGTGCTTGCCCCGTGAACGTTACCATTGGGCTTATAGTTATGACATCATATTTCCTAATTTCACTATTTGAAATCATAAAATACCTAAAAAAATAGCAGGCTTTGCTGCCTCTCCTGCAGCCGCCACCCTTCCCTGCCCCCAACCCGTTTTTGCGGTGTGGTTCGGACATGCTGGGCAAGGAGACCAGAGCCGGGGAGGCCCCGGGGGTCAGAGCCCGATGGGTGCGCCCCGCCAGGGCCTGGCAGTGCGGGGCGAGAGCGGCACGACAGGCTCCCAGGGCGGGGCCGGGCGCCCCTGTCCCCAGTGGCAGTCGCAGTCTGGATCCTGCGCCTCCGCAACTCGTACCACTGGCACTGGGTTTTCAGAACCATCAAGGGTAAAAACCAAGATTCTGCAGCCTGAGGTTATTAGATAGATCTCCTTGGGTGACACTTCGGGCCCTAGCTCAGTTGGCCTGCACGCTTCAGCAGGTGGGGACACTTCGTGGCCTCTGCCCCTTCTTCAAAACTCGCCCAGCTTTTCCAGCAAATTCCTCCTCCTTTGCATTTCCCAGGGCTTTGTTTGTCACTAACATTTTAGTGATAGTTCACGTATCTGTCCCTTTCAACTATGAGCATATCTAGGGCAGCCAGTGAGCTTGATTTTTGGAAATATATTTCATTATATTACAGTATATATGATATGATGTGATATGATATATGATATGATATGATATGATTCCCTGGGACCTGGTACAGTTCTTTGCTCATAGTGTATAGTCGGTGATCTTTTGAGAGCATGAAATGGCCAAGGGTCACCCTGACTAGCTACCAGCAGCTGGAATTGCTAGGTCTACAATTTTGCATGAGAATTATGGGATATTAACAATAACACTTTACATTATGACTGCTTTGTCCAATTCATCTTGCATGTTGCTGCCAGGTAGTAAAATATCCTCATATCATACTCAAACATGACATAAGCTTATAGCTGAGTTTATTTTCTCATCTTTATTCTGCCTCAGGCACTCCCCAGAGCTCTCCCACCTTCTTCTTCAGCCTGGCAGAGGAGAGTCAACCCCTAGAGACTATTTAATGCCAGATTTCCTTTTTGCCCATGAGAAGCCTGCCAAGGTCACACTGGAGGTGACTCTTAGGGCTGGGAGTAGAGCAGTGATCTCCTGGCTCAGCCCAGTGACCGCCTGCTCCAGCCCAGAGCGCCACAGAAGTGGAGCTCTCCCTGCCCAAGCCTGTGCAGGTCCTCTGATCTTACCTCCACTACCCGCCTCTCCCATGGGAGGGTACCCCCAGCGCACAGCCTGAGGACACGGCCTCACCTAGAAGGACATCCGGGCTGAGCCTGAGCCACCCAGGCTGCTCACATCAGCACCAGCTCCATTTCACTGCAGGGCCCCTCTCCTTCCCTCCCTGACTCCAGGTGGCTCAGAGCAGAGGACAAGCATCAGTGGGCAGCGTGGCCAGAGGTGCACGGGTCCACCCAGTTCACCTGACAGCAAAACGGGCCACGCTCCTCGTCTCCCTCCACAGTGAGCGAGACATCGATCTGCACTGGTGTTGTGGGCAAGAAAGGAAAATAACTCACCAAAGAAAGTAATTTCAAGTGTCATTTTCCCAACCCCAAAAGTAACACATAATCATTATTGAAAATTTAGAAAATAGAAGTTCAAAGAAGAAAATTTAAGTCACCCATAACCCTATTACCAAGAGACGAGGTGACTTTTGCACTGTCTCTCTCTTTCTCTCTCTCTCTCTGCCCTCCCCCTTTGTCTCTTGCACGCCATACACGCACACACAACGTGCTGATGGCACAGTTTTATAGGCTCTTGTCAATTAGCATTGCTTCAGGAGCCTTTCTTATCTCACTATTTTTCACATTTCTTCTCACTCTGAGTATATGGAGCCCCCCTGTTGAGGCCCAACCCCCACCCATGCCTCCGTCCCACCCCTCTGGCCTCGTTCTTGACCCTCCCCTCTCCCTGGCTGTTTTCTCTAAGACCGTGAACATGTTCGGATCTCCTCATCCTGAGAACAAGCCCCCTCGGCCCTGCATTCCCCCAGCCCTCTCCTCTGCTGCTTTGCAGCAGCAGGAGGCAGGAGCTCTCCAGGAGCTTTCTCTCCCGCCCCCGCCCCCCATAGGCCCCATCCTGCCGCACCCTGCCCCCTGGGCCTCCAACCTCTGAGATGCCCCTTTTGCTCAAGAGTCTGTTTTGATCTTTACCAGCAGAAAATCTAGACTTCAGGATCTAGTTTCTCTTGCTTTCTGCCCGTGTCTCCCACATGCTCCCAAAATCCTTCCCACAGGGCCCAGCTGGTCCTCTGTCCCCTTAGACCACCTGGAAGGCCTGGACCTCCTTTTGTGAATCAGCAGGCAGAAGCAAGTCGGGGTGGCAGGGCGGTGGGGGCGGGGGGAGGAGTTGAGGGGCGGGCCCTGGAACAGCCATACCCACCAGGAGCCTCAGCAGAGCGGCAGGCCTGCCGGCGGCCTGCCGGGGAGGGAAGTTCAGGTGGGCCAGGGAGGTGAGCCAGGTCGCCCAGTGCAGGTGAAGCAGCACCCAGCAGGGGGAATACAGTCATCTCCAGGCTCCTCTTGCCTCTTGACTCTCTCAACAAATGATATAATGTACTATAGATAAGTAATACTTAATCCAATATTCTGCTAATTGTTAATTAAACATTCATTTTTAGAGAGGACATTTCCCCCACTCCCATAGTGACCGTGTGGCCATTTCACCCCAATACCTGTGAGGCTCCATGGCACTCTTGCTTAGAGCAGCTGAGGCTGCAGGCCTGGTCCATGGAAGGACCGCTGCCATTAAGGCCTCCTCTCTGAACCAGGCCCAGTGACCCCCAAAGTGCAGAATCAGTTCACCTGAGCGGAGCTTGGGGTCAGCGCTGCTGTGGCGAGTGGCCAGGCAGCCTGTGCTGTCTGCTCCAGGAAGCCCCATCTGAGGGGCCACCGTGCACACCCTGGGTAGTATAGATATGTGTCTTTTTTATACCAACCTTTATACCAACCACAAGCAAAAGAAAAGTGTCTTGAAAAGGGGCCATTTTCTCTAATTCACACAAAGGCCCCAAGAAGGACTAGCACAGGGCCGTCCCCTCAGTCAGACTAGCAGTCCGCCCCTCGGCTGACTCGGGGGGCTGGGTACTGAAGAGGAAGGCCAGCTGAACGTCACAGGACTCGCAGGGCTCTTGCTTGGCCTTGGGGCGCTGCCTGCCTTTCAGACCTGGGCCTCGGGATTTCAGCTACAAACACCCAGATCGTGGTTTGCCAGGGGTTTCTCTGGTTCCCAGACGTGGCCAGCGCCCATCCCCCGCTGTTCAGGCCCCAGAAAGTGTTGCCAGCTTGGTCGTGAGCCCTGGGAGTGCACTGCCAAAGGGCCCCAAGAGCCTAGAAAGACTGATCCATGTCCCATGTCCCAAAGGAAAACTAAGGGGGACTCCAAACCTGTGACCAGAGAAATCAGTCAGCAGATGACTTCAGTGTACTGCTCCGGCCCCGGCAGTCGGACGGGAGCGATCCTGGCGGGGGCCTGTCCTCCCGAGTCAGGGCTGCAGACACAGGCCGGCCTGCCCCAGGAGGCCCCACGCAGAGGTCCTGGGGCAGCACGAAGCTGGGGCAGTAGGGACCAGCTTTCTTCCACACCCTCGCTTCCAGCACGCCTCCCTGACACCCCACCTGTGTCACCCGGACCCCGCTCCTCAGTCATGCACGTGTTTAGAGCAGCTCTGTTTCCTCAAGAACATCACCCTCTCCCTGGTTTCCATGTTCTGGAGGGGATCCTCTCTGCGGTGTTCATTGTCCTCATGAAAAGCACCCAGGCAGGCTGTGGGGAGAGACATTTTAGTCTCGAGGTGAGAGCAAGTCAGCAGGGCCACAGCCCATCTTCAGCATCAGGACTGGTTCGCCCTGTGTCCCTGTCCCCCTGTCCTGGAGATAAAAGCCCTCAGGCTGTATATATGTGGCTCTGTGCAAGGTAAGGAAAAAGAGAGATGGAGGGGCTCGGGGACAACAGACACCCCTGAGGCCTGGGGCCACTGACAGGCTTGGGGGGTGGGCAGCACAGTGGGAGCCACCTCTCAGACCCCCTGTCCCGCCCTCAGAATCGCTGGAGTACAGTGCATGACCGTGCCTGGCTACTCCAAGGGCTTTGGCTACCAGACGGGGCAGCGCTTCTCTGGGGAGTTTGACCACGCTTGGAATGCTGTGTACCTGGAAGGGAGATGGCACCTGCTGGACAGCACCTGGGGCAGTGGCCTGGTGGACACCACGACCTCCAAATTCACCTTCCTGTACGTACGATGCTCAGCTCTGATGGGTGTCTGGTTGGTGGGAATGGGGGAGATCCAAGCTTGAGGGAGGCAGCAGGAGGGAAGGAGAGCCAGGGTGGCCTCGCCTCCTGCTGGCTGCTCCCTCCCTTCCTCTGGCTCCCAGGCGATCTAGCTGCTAGCCGATTATAAGGGCCCAGAACTTTTTATCACCGCACCCTCCACTGACTAAGTCCCTCCTCCGACTCCCTGTTACTCCCTCCACCCAAGAGCTAAAAGCCTCCAGCAATTTCCCGAGAGCCACATATCAAGAAAGGCCAAGCCAAGAACCTTCTTTAGCTACCCATGGGTTCCCCGCAGGCTTTTGGCCCGTTGACTGTATCATGATTCACAGATACCAGAATTCTCTCCCACTGCTTCCCCCAGACACCGAGGTTCCTCACCTGCCTTCTGGGCTGAATGCAGCCTTATCACATCTCTAAGAAAGGGGTTAGGGTTTTGCAGGCAGTGGGTGCTGTTGTTGTGCACAGTCACTGAGCCACACCAGGGTACAGGGGGCTGGAGCCTGACTGTCCTCCGAGGCTCTGGCCAGCCCTGGCCTTAAGCTAAAGGCAAGACATTCATTGTGGATTATGATGTCCATCAACAGCTCAGATCCATCAGAAAAAAGAGTGTCGTCTACAATGTTTTCAGTTTAAATCTTGACAGCCCCACATACGGGACAAATGCAAGCATGTGAACACACGCCCATGCAGGGCCTGTGCATTCAAATGCCTCCTCACTCTGTCAGCTCCGGATGCTGCTCACTGTAAACGGCCGAGTAAAGCTTCCCCATTCCCATCGCAGATGAGCCTCCCTATTTTCATCTTGATCCCCATCATTGACCCACAAAAAGTCACATCTGGTTGGCCCTAGACACCACAGAAGGGCCTCCACGTGCACAGCTGTTCTGGCGTGGAGACTAGCAGGGGCGATGGAGCTGGCCCACCAAGCACTTTCCCTCCCTGCCTCCCCTCCACTCCACTACTGGGCTCCTGGTCCATGGGTCATGCCTTTTGCTCCCTTCAAGTCTCTGGCTTTGAGAGCAGGGGAGCTCATTCTCCCCTGGACACGGTTGCGGGTTGTGGTCTTCTCTCAGAAGGGGCCTTAGATCCTGACTTGGCTCCTGTTTTCAGAAGTAGACGCTGAGGGGTGGTCTCCAGTGCCCATACCAGGAGTGGAGATGGTGCCTCTTCCCTTTCAGGGTGTTGGCTGGACCCCTCCGGTGGGTGTGTTAGCCAGAAGAAGGCACCATAGATTCCCCCCCTCCACAGGGCTGGCCCTGCTCACCCCACATGGCTGCTGACCAGCTCTTCCTCTGCTCTAGCTACAATGAATTCTACTTCCTGACCCACCCTGCGCTGTTCATCGAGGACCACTTCCCAGACAACAAGAACTGGCAACTGCTTAAACCTCCTCAATCCCTGCGGCAGTTTGAGAACAACATGTATCACAAGAGTGAATTCTACAACAAGGGGATGCTGAGTGCCCGCCCGGAGACGCCCGTGATCAGAACAGGTAACCCCAGGGCAGGTGGCCAGCAGAAGGGACAGGGCAGCCTGCGCAATGCCTCTAGGCATCCGGGCCCTCATGGGACTATCCTTCCAGGGCCGGCGAGCTCAGCGTAAGCTGTATGTGTGGGGAACGTGAGGGACTACCGAGGCAGCCAAGGCTGTCAAGCCCGTCAGTCACACTTGCGTGAACCAAGAAGGGAGTGTAGAGGATGTCTGTTGGCTTTCCTGCCCCAAGGGCTGCGCCCACAGCCCAGCCTGTCAGGGAGCCAGAGCTGAGCTTCCTGAGCTGGCGGAGGCTCGCTCAGCTCACACCACAGACAAGGACAATCTCAGGCCTGGCTGCACCACCTCCCAGTTCAGGTGCTCCACAGAAGCTGACTACCCTGCTGTGTTCTCCCAAGCTCCTGGCAGAGGGCATATGTTGGCCCAGCTGAGTGTCAGTGGTCTAGCCAGATAGCCGGGAAGTGACAGGGGTCTCCCAGGACTGAGGGTGGGGGAGGCTTTCTTAGGGAGGTGGTGGCTGAGCTGGGTCTCAGAACTGGAGTAGAACAGGCATCAGAGTACATGGGGACAGACGTGTTCTGGGAACCTCTGAGCTCAAGCACCCTGAGACCAAGCCAGGCTCCAGAGGACAGCACAGTCTCCTCAGTGCCTGGATGCCTGTTGGCTCTGCTGGCCTCTGCTACACCTCCCTCCTTCCTGGGAACAGGATCCAGCCTTTTCCAGATAGCTTCCCTGGGTCTGGGCAGAGCAGGAACCCAAGCTGAGCTGTCCCCATGGCTAGCCTAGAGTAACATTTGCTCCCCGCACCCCCACGGGGTCACATAGGCAGCCAGTTGGGTGTGTCTGCACACTACGAGGCCAGCTCCAGGGATCACAGGATGGTCTCCAGAGGACTGGGTCTTCTACAGCTCCATGGCCTGGGTCCTGGTCCTGGGCGGCGCACATGGCTGGACACGCCTCAGGGCTCAGCACAGCATGGCTTGTGCTCCCACACACATCAGCAAAGGACTGCCTGCCTGTCCCCTCCCTCTCTGCTACCAGGGGCCTGTGTACTCTCAGGAGGCAAGGCCTGAACTCACATTAGTGGTAGCATGGGGTAGCCCATGGTTGAGCCCAGAGCCCGTGGGTGATGGGGGCACCCGGGAACACAGGTGCTCCTACGTTAGTTCCAGCTGCCTCACCCCTTCTGCCTCACAACTGCTTCCTGAGCCAGGCTGAATTCTGGCATACTTATTTAAACTACAAATGCCCAGCGGCTCCTGCTGTTATAATAACAGCGTGAAGCCACTCTCCTGGAGAATAAATGCTGTTCCGGAGCATGAGGCAGGACGGCCCTGGCTGCCTCGGGCCTTATCAGATGGGAGCCTGTTGTCTGCAGCGGGTGGGCCATGGAGCCACAGGGAAGAATGCACCAGGCCACACCAACATCCAGCTAATGCCACTGAGTTGAATTTGCCTTTTCAAGTGACATAGAAGTGTAAACACTGGGTGCTTTCATAGATGGTAATCTAAAATTTGATTCCATATTCGTGACTCATATTTAAAGACTCTCTCTTGGTTGCAGCTAGTTATGTTAAGAGTAGGGATGGGAAGGCAGCAGATGAGGGACGCTGAGGTACACAAATGCAGGAAGGGAAGAGGACACAGGACAGGGGAGGTGGAAAGCGCCTGAAGGCGGAGAAGAGGAAGGAGCTAAGGAGGGGTGAGGGGAGGAGAGGGAGAAAGAGTGCAGCGGAGGTCCCAGGCCCCTACAGTCCCCAGATGTCCCCAGCCGTTCATTTCAAGTCTTCTCTGCCAAACCACTCACCTTTGCCAAGAGCCCCTGGGCGGGGCACTGAGACAAGGCAGGAAAGGGGACAGGTGGGCCCCTTCGCCACAGTGCCCAGGCCCAGCAGGGAGGACAGACATTACACAAAACCAATTCATGCCCTGACTGGTGTAACTCAGTGGATTGAGTGCTGGCCTACCAACCAAAATGTCACCAGTTTGCTTCCCTTGTCAGGGCACATGCGTGGGTTGTGTGCCAGGTTCCCAGTTGGGGGCGTGCAAGAGGTAACTGATTGGTGTTTTCCTCCCTTCCCCTCTCTCTAAAAATAAGTGAATCAAAATCTTTTTTAAAAAAAAACAAAAACCAATTCTTGACAGCAGTGCTAAGTTCCCTGAAAGAGACACAGGGCAGGAGAGAGGCCTCCGGGGAGCTCAGCCACATCTGAGGAGTCTAAAGAGGCATCTTTGCAGTCAGTTCTTATCCAGGTTTGGGGAAAGCAGTGGAGGGGAAGGGCACAAGAGAGGGCCCTGAGGTGTGAAGGGGAGTACCCTGGAGGGTATGAGAGAATGCCCTGCGGCCCCCTGAGAAGGACCGCCCTAGACGTAGGCCCTCTGAGCTGGAGGCTTCTCCAAGGTCTCGTTTGACAGTGACTGCAGAAATCATCCTAGGAGCGGCAGGGAGGATATTTTCACAGAAGCCCTCAAGCTGTCATGTGCAGGTGCTGGATGGTGTTCCACCCATCAAATGTGGACTTTATGGGCCCCTCACAACCAGCTCAGATGTTAAGTGAAACAGGACAGGGGCCATGAGCAGTCAAGGGCTGAGACGGTTCTCCCCACTGAGCTAGTTTAGAAGAAGAAGTAAGGGGAGAGGGTTTCAACTGAAAAAGGATAACAAGTCTGTTGTTCTTGGTCACTTTCTTTGGAGGTTACCTTGGGGCGGATGTCCCACAGGTGTTGAAGGCCATGGACAAAGAATGTAGACAAAGAAAATAGCACGAAAGCACAAAGAGCCCCACGATTAGTGTAACGGAAAGGGAAAGAATGACAGCAGAGATATCCGGTGGCAGTCAGAGGGATGGGAAGAGGGCCAGGCTGGAGAGGGTGGCAAAGGCAGGGGGAGGAGAGAACTTTCAGAAGGGTATGGCCTGAAGACTAGGTTCTCCAAGAAAGTCACTAAAGACTTTGGAGGGTGGAGACAGAGGCCAGATTTCAGACAGCCAAATGGGTAGAGGGGAAGTGCAGTGGGGACAGGTTTGGGAGTTAAGGTAGATGAGGAGTTGGAAGTGCCTGAGAGGCGAATAAAGTTTTCCAGGTGGAAGCCCCATGAAGAAGGCAGAAGGGAAGGTCCGTTGAGCTCCATCCCTGTCCTGGGGCCTGTGTGGGATTCTCGTTCCCAAGTTCGGAGTTGGCACTGAATGCAGTAGCTGAGCAGCCTAGAGTCAGGGAGCCTCATGGCAGATTTGATGGGAAGTCGCAGGGGCGCTTGTCCTAGAGCCTGGCAAGGGAGTGCTTATGGGCTGCAAAGACCAGAGAACCGGCCACCTGTCCCTGAAAAAGGAGGAGGACAAAACTGCAGGGTAAGGGGAGAGACAGAGGGAGGGTGGACACCACAGACCACCCGCGGACCCTTCAGTCTATAAACATGGCTAAGACATGCCCTTGAGAGAAGCCTGGGGGAGGGGTGGAGCAAGGAGGTAGCCCCACCATTGAGCACAGTCCCCGGGAGTGAAGCGATTCCCAGCAATTTTTAAGATAATGGGTGGACATGACAGCTGTTGATACTGTGATGAGCAGATGCTGGAGGGTGCAGTGTGAAAGCAAGGCCCAAAACTTGGAGGAGATGGTCCAAGGGTGGCGCTCAAACCAGGGCCCAGGCCCTCCTTGTTCCGGACCCCTCCCCTGCCCTAGAATCAGGCTAGGCCTCCATCTAATGCTGCCTTCATCTAATGTGGCTCAATCAGGGAGCTGAGCACATACAGCTGGAGACAGATTTTTTCTTGAGACCTCAGCTGTCAACTCCCTCAAAGAGAACCACCTAAAGGGGGTAGGGGGACGTTCCAACAGTGTGCTGCAGCTGGCTTAGGTCTTGTTCAGGGACGTCACACTGGCCGCTTAAAATCAATCGTGGTGAAAGTATTCACACCACAGAAACGGGCAGACGCTACAGCTTTTTTTTTTTTATCCAAAGAGCTGGTGGTTAAACACTGACCAGCACATCCTCACAGGCTGAACCCACTTCACCTGACCTTGGCTTTCTCTCCACAGTGAACGGGAAGGCCACGATCACCATGGAGAGCTGCGCCCCGACGCTGTTCATGTTCATGCTCAATGGCAAGCAGGAGCACGGGCTGCTGAGCCTCCAGAAGAACGGGATGAAGCTGGATGTCTACCCCCCAACCATGGGCACCCACAAGCTGCAGATCTTTGCCAAAGGCAACTCTGACATCTACAGCTCGGTGCTGGAGTACACGCTCAAGTGTAACTATGTGGACTTGGGTGTCCGGCTGCCAGCCGAGTTGCACCAGCCTGTGGGCCCCAGCTGGTTCTCGGAGCAGATGGGCATCCTGAAGCCGTCCCACCCTGACCCCATCATCCACACCAGCGATGGGCGCTGCTCCGTCAGCTTTGGCCTGGAGGAGGGCATCAGCGTCCTGGCTTCCCTGCATGGGGACGATGGCCCCATCACCGAGGAGACACAGCGGCGCTACATCTTCCAGCTGCACCGGGAGAAGCGGATGGAGCTGAAAGTCCAGCTGCCCCATGCTGGCAAGTTCGCCCTCAAGATCTTCGTCAAAAAGAGGCAGGAACCGGGCAACTATGTCTTCGTCTTCAATTATCTCCTGTGCTGCTCCAACACCAAGGTGAACTGGCCCATGTTCCCTGAGAGCTTTGGCAACTGGGGGCAGGACAATGAGCTGCTGGAGCCTCTGTCGGGCGTGCTTCCTGCCAACCGGAATGTCCCATTCAAGTTGAAGCTGCACGGTGTCGCCAAAGCCCTAGTGAAGGGACAGGACACATGGCCCCTGACCCTGAACGGCGAAGGCTACTGGGAGGGCAGCTGCAGCACAGCCGGCTGCCAAGAAGTCTACGTCATGGTGCTGGAGAACGCCAACCACAACTTCTATTCCTACATCCTGAAATACAAAGTGAACAACCAGTGAGGGCCCGTGCCCGGTCACCCTCCAGGGAGGGCCCACGGGAAGTGCAGCGAGCCCTGGACACCACTGAGTCTGCATGAAATCGCTTCTCGGCCTCTGCCTCCGTCTCCCTCCTCCGCCGCAGGAGCTGTGTGTTCTGATGGCTTCACTCCACTGTGGCGATGGCCGAGGGGACAGAGGCAAAGGCCCTTGAGAAGAAAAAGGTGCTATGTAAATCCAAGGTATTGTAAACTGTACACCCCTGCCCACCTGCCCCCTTCTCATATTAATGCTGTTGTTGTTGTTATAGGCTTGATGTGGGAAAGCAGGGTGTGGCCCAGGCTGAGAGCTCTTCACGTGATGGTGAGAGAATAAATTCTGCCGCGGGCCCGAGAGGGACGTGATTTGTGATTTGCAAGGCTGTCATCGTGAATCACAGAGCCCCTTCCCAGGAGCATCACAAGTTTCTCACCCACCCGTGCACCCCAGGGCAGGTTGGACTATCATTTTCTCCCCAGACCCTACGTCTTCCGCATTCCTGCTGCCTCTTCATTAGGTGCTTCTTGCTCTCCGAGAGCCCTGGGGGAAAAGAAGGTTGGAGAGGAAGCTAGCGCACCCCTCCCCATTGGTTGGGTGCTGGTGGCCCCCACAATCCCTGTGCATGCTGGGAATGTGGCAACAGAGAAATTACGAGGAGATTGCAAAGCAGAGAGAAGCCAGTGCCCACTCTTGGGTGTCCTGGGTAAGGGCACCATGGCAGTCCTGCACCCTGAGTCTGCGGGACAAGGCCTCCGACTCTGCTCTCACAGGACGCTGTGGACAGCTGGGTCAGTGGGGCTGACCTTGCAGGCCCTTTCCAAGCCTGCACGCTGCTCAGGGAGCCTCAGGAGGCCTGCCTGACCCTGGGAGCCCTGTTAATAACCCTAAATACAGACCTGGGCAGGGAGGCCAGGTGAGAGAGCGGTGCAACGCTGCAATGCCAGGGAGACTCCCCACATAATAGGGCTCTCCAGGCGCCCAGGAGTCCCCGCCAACAAAGCCACAGCTGGGGGAACCTCCACCTGCCCTGGGAGCGGTTTTTGTGCTTGGCCCTATCCCAAGCACAAAACTGTCCTTTCCTCCCTTTCTCTGACAAGAGAGACCCTCAGGATCCCAACTTCTGTGGGGACAGTTCAGAGCCCCTTGCTTGCTCAGGATGGAAAAGCCTCAACTGCCCAGCTGGCCCTCAGCAGCACCTCGGGCAGGCGTTGCCATGGCTACAGCAGAAAGGCTAGCTCCTGTGAGGGCAGTGGAGAGGGGAGGATGGAGAATGCCATGCGTGGCCGACACAACACCATCCCAGCACACCGATACACCCAAGGTGGTCCCTGCTGACCTCCTGGCTTCTCCAGCTCTGTGTCCACTGCCTGTCTCAGTTCCCCCTGCCCCTGAGAGCCAGCACTGCCGAGGACTCTGCCTCCCCTCCTGCTCCAGTTGCCCCCAGGGCTCAGCTACAGCCAGGGCCCGCCAGGAATCCTCACAGCCTCCTCTGCCTTTATGGTCTCATTTATGTATTTAACCAATGTTTGCAGGGCACTTAATAAGCACCAGCCACTGTGTTACATGCTGGGGCTACAGAAGGAACAAAGAAGGCCCTGCCCCTGTCACCCAGAGCGTAGGGTGGGCAGCAGCAGCAGCATCATCCTCACCCCGGCCTGTCTGAAGTTCCAGGCTCCCAACACTTCAATCCATCACGCCCCTGAGCTCCCTCCCCAAAGGACCCTAGCCCAGAGCGATGTTGCAGCAGTGCCCACCCCCCCACCAGGCTAAGGCCCTGGAACTCGAGGGGAGTGCCCCCATGGTGCGGCTGAGCTACCCTGGCCTGTGTCCAGTGCCTTCTGGCAGGCTCTGCCACCCGGGCATTCAGCACCATGTCACTCGCCTGGAAAACGCACAAAGGCCCCAGAGAAGGAACCGCTGTGCATAAAGACAGGGAAACAAGGGGAGTTTTTACACCCTGAAAACAGCCTTTTCTCACACCTTTGATTTTATGAGCTGAAAGAAATGTGCTGTTTCATCAAAATAATAAGTGCCTTCAATGACGCATGTCATTCACTGGGCCCAGAGCTGGCTGCCTTCTGCTGAGAAGGACACGCATCTTTTTAGAAACAATGTACTTAATCAATATATTCTGGAGCATGCAAAGGATGCCACCCAGCAAAACAGGAGCTGTCCGGAGAACCGGGGACAGAGGCCCGGCCTCTCCAAGTGCCTGCAGAGCATCCGCGTACCCCTCCCTCACCGTTCAATCAGGCACCCCACCCCCTTTGTAAAGACAGCTATAGACACAGAAAATCACGTGCATTTTTTTCCACTGAAGTAAAAATACATGAAATGAAATCCCATAGTTATGAATTTTTACACGCATGCTGCTCAGGGTAGAATTTGGGGTTGCATTTTGAAGTCTTTTATTCAAACCCCATCTTTGTTTCCTGGTCCACTAGAGTCCCAGCGGCCGGCGGAATGGCACGGGCGCCCCCTGGTGTCCAACGTGCAGAACTGCCGTCGCTGCACACCGTGAGGCTGAACCTACCGCCAGGGTTTTTCCACAGAATTTGAAAAAATGCTGCTGAGATGTTTTTGTTAAATTCATTTGGTGCTCTCTCGTGGCTTCTCAGTGCTTTCTCGTGTGTACACCGAGCACATTTTTGCCACGCACAAGCTGTGAAGCGAGCCTGGGGGACTGCCTGGCGAGAAGACACAGAATGTAATAGGATTTGGGCGCGCTTGGTCCGGAACACTGGGCATAGGACTGGATGGGACATTTTCGACCAAACTCAGTACTATGCCAGTGAAGGATTAAAGCGGATCAAACTCGGAGGCAAGTCCTGGGATGGCCATTCCTCAGGCCACAGGCGGAAGGGTGTGGTGGGTTCGAAAGGGAGGAAGAGTGCTGGAGTAAATGGGCTGCACAACCACAACTGCAATTAACGTCTTTTCAGCTCGTTTGGGAAGCGACACCAGCACAGCTGGACTCCGTTTTCAGTCTGATTATAATCATTGTGAGTTCCCCATATGTTACATTGTCCCGCCAGGACAAGCTCTGCACACACAGCCTGCTGAGATTAAAGGGAAATAAATAGAATAACTGAAGCATGAAGGATTCAGGCTAGACAGAAAGAACTATTTCCTGTTGTTAAGCAAGAGGAACAAGTTCCCGAGAAAGTTTTGTGAAATCCTTTTCTCAAAGGACTTGGAAAGTGGAAAAGTTTTCCCACTGGTCTGAGGTTTTAGAAGCCACGCTAACTGCAAGAACTAGACTCTCTCCATACCAGTTAAGCTTGAAACACACGTGATCGCCTACAGCAAACACAGGATGAACGGTTCTGCCGCAGCCTTCGCTATTGGCAAAGTGTTCAGAGGTGGTGCGCTTGTGTCATGCATCAGTTTATCTGCGTTCTATCATTTCTTTTCCTTTGGAATGAGCAGTTGGACATCTTAAGAGGTGATTGCTTTTCATAACGCGTGCACTGAGTTGTGTGGGCCAGTGGCTGTTGGGTACGCTTTTCCCACATTGTTGCGGGTGTTGTTTTTCAATAAAATTTATATTCATTTTTATCCAACAATGTAATTATCGATCCATTCTTATCACTGCTCTCACAAGAGGAGGGGAAAAAAACACAGGAAGAAACATTTTTATGTTCAATGGAAGCCCCAGGGAGGAAAGAAAATCAATGTCCCAGCCATTTGAATGTGACGGTGAGATGCAAATGGAAGGTCAGGCAAATAGCTATTACACATTAAAGAAAACATAATTAGGTTAGCTCCAGCCCCGCTCTGGCTCACATGCCTTTGAAGAACATGAAGGCAGTGTTTCTTTCATTGAGTCTTGTTTAACTTGAAAATTTTGAAGTCAACCCTAATTTCTGTTTTTAGTGAGAGAAAAAAAAATCGACACAAAACGCCTATTGCCATACGTTTCTTGTTGTTTTGAATATATAAACATATATATTTCTGGATACTCACATACACGCAGAAACTTTCCAGCAGACTTCCTGAACAGACTCTTCATAAATTGGACATTTAGGGAAATAGAGAAAATGAAAATCTAGACACCTCTAGGAAGCTGCCGTAACCATGGAAACCATTCTCATACCTGTGGTGTAAAGGACAAAAAAGAACGTATGTTCCCAAATACGGCCCCGTTGCGGCCCTCGCTGCCAGGTCCACGCTTCTCCTTAGGAAGAGGGCCCGCAGGTGGACCATGTCTTTAATAGCATGTGAAGGGAAGTCAGAAGAAACAGTCTTCTGCATAATAGGAGGAACTCTTGAATTATTAGAACAGTCTGAAAATGCCAACCCTGGAGCTGAAATGGATGACCTCTAATGTCCCTTTCAGTCCAGAGAGTCTGTGATGCTGTGTCTCTGTGAACAGATGCCGGCAGGCGGTAGACCTGGGATTGTCAGTTGCAGAACATCTGAAGAGCCCCGCTGCGTTAAGAGCCTGCCCTGCAGCCCCCAGCAGGCTGGGCGGCTGGGCTGCGGGCTTGGCTGCTGCCTGAAGGCAAGGGGCTGGAGACGGCCCAGCCAAGGGACCAAACTGGAAGCAACAGCCCCTGACAGAACATTGCTTCTCTCTGATTTTGCCGGCAGAACTAAAGAAAACTAAAAGTCAGGCAATCCTCTCTTGGATTTCCCACAGGCATTTCAGAGTCAAAAGATACTGAACCAAAATCACTTCTTTCCCCCAGATTACCTCCAGCTCCTCCTGAGCCCCCAGAGCAGTAAATGCACCCTCATCTCCCAGGTATGAGTCAAACTCCAGGTGGCCACCAGCGACTCCTTCATCCCCACTGATTGAAAACTGCTCTATGCTGGCTGTGGCTCACATCTGACCTACATTTCCAGCTCCACGTCCACACCATGGCATGGCCTTTGCCGTAATCCAAGCTTTCATCGTCCTGTTACACTGTTGTGATTGTTTTCTATGATAGCAGGGATGCTCCGCCTGCCCCGTGACTCTCTGTGTTTCCTCTTATAGGAACACCAGGGCTATTGGGTTGTGTTAAGATGAGGTTTCCTTGGAAGCCTCCTGAAAGAACTTTGCCATCTATGGAGAAGGCATAACTTGAGTCAGGCCCTGGTGGAAATGGTAGGCCTCCAAACAAAATCTGCTTTTAATCGGGAAGCAGGAAAAATCTGAGAGTCCCCTCGTGTTTTTGGACTCTGAAGAGGCCAGGCACTGCTGTCTTCACTCCCAGGCAATAGTGTGTAAGACGGCTCTTAGCACCCTAGTCAGGTCGGGACCCAAGATGGGGTGCAGTGTGGGAGCCCTGGAAATGAGCAAGCTGCACCTTGTAAATCAGATCATTCACAGAAGGAAGACCGCCAGAGAGGAAGGGCTACCCTGCTGCGAAAGGTGGGTGGCCATGGACAGCCAGGGACTCTTTGGGATCATGAATAGTTCTATGGAATTTCCTTTTCTCAATCTAATTATGATTCCTGCCCAGATTTCCCCCACCCCCAACCCTGTTTAAAGGAAATCCTGTAACCTAAGCTTGGTGCTTCTGTTGAACAGCACACAGACAGAGCTGAAGACATCTGCTGGTTCCACCCACACCTACCCAAACAGAGCCCAACAAATAAGCCTTTCTGCAGAAAATTTCCCAAATCCCGGGAGAACATGTTATCTTAGGAAAGAGCTGTGGAGCGGCAAATCTTCAGTTATTTAAGACAAAAAGCATAAACATTGTCTACCATATATAGGACTATCTTCAGGAGAGTTGCTATTTTAGAAAACGATGCTTAAGTGGACACTCAGAGCAAGACCGTCCTCAATGCTGGTCCTCTAAGGGACGCACCTGCAAGATGAGGTACCAAAGGGCCTCGAGGTTCTTGGTGTATCCAGTGGCAAAGCTGAGTCGTGAGGGTTTCAGAAGGAGAAGGAAACCTGGACAGGGCCTGCAAAGTAGTCTTATGCCTTACCTTAAACCAGCTCTCTCCAGATGTTTGGCCATTGTTGCCTAGAGCATTTGGGTTAAGAAGGATTCTGAAGTCACATCAAGTTCTGCAGGAAAGAGTATTGTGATTAGCTAGTGAGCCCCTCAGCTGAAGGGTGAGGAATGCCATGCATCAGCCAATCCTGACTTAAGGCAGTCAAATCAGGCTAAGACCAAAATAAGAGAGGAGGTTATCCAGACCAGGGGGTGAGCACTGGCTTCCCAGCAACCTGGTCCACTGACTGACAACCAGTCAACTACCAAACCGTGGGTCCACAGAGGCACCGGAGACCTCCCAAGCACCTTGGGGCTCCAGGAGGACGCCGCTCACCTAGAACATGCAGAGGCACAGGCATCTCACTCCAGGAGGTGGGAGCTGAGCCAACCTCATTTGCTATTTCATCTCCATGATCAAACAGTGTCTAGCATTTAGAACTAGTGATCAGTAAATTTTTGAAGTAAACATCAATTTGTTGTTTCAAAAATGAATTAATAGGCCATGGCTGGGTAGTTCAGTTGGTTAGAGCATCATCCTGATATGCCAAATTTGCAGGATGGATCAGGGCACATACAAGAAACAACCAATGAATGCATAAATAAGCAGAATAACAAATCAATGTTTCTCTCTCTCTCTCTCTCTCTCTCTCTCTCTTTCTCCCCCCTCCCCACCCCTTCCTCTCTCAAATCAATAAATACCATTTTTTTAAATTAATTAATACATCACTGGATCTATGTATGTGGCTGTCAACCCGAAAGACTGTTGAGTTACAACCTCTAAATAGTCATTGCCTGCTTTCCCCCAGCTAACTGACATAGCGCATGCTGGGCGGCAGCTCCTTGGGCCCTGCGGGGAATGTGTGTTTACAGGGAGAGAGAAATGGCCACCTGGCTGGGAGTGCTCGTGGTGTTTGCCACCAGGAAGCAATCAGCACAACCGATCAATCCATTGAAGGAGTGGCCTTCTTCTCAGGGACCCTCTGCCTGCAGCTCATGCTGGGATTGCTTTGTTTTCATCAAGGGGACGGCTGACTGCCTCCATGACACAAGGAATCAGCCATTATTTCACCCTGGCTGTGTGGTGTTGAGGGGGGAGGCGGGGGCGGGGGCAGGCAAGGGCGGGGCTCCCCCTCCAGGGTGGCAGGGAGGACTATGCAGAGGCTTGTGGGCAGAGGGCAGCGAGGCGGCCGCCATGAATGACCGGAAACAATGGGGCGGTGTGATTAATGGAGTGCAGATGTCAGGAGTGCGGGGCCCTGGCAGCTCCCGTGTGGACGAAGAACGGTGATAAGGAAACATGAGGAAATGGTTATTTAATGCAAAGTGACTGCAGAGTTACAGATTGCCCAGTGAACACTGTGCTTTCTGTGTGTATTTGTATGTATGTGAACACCAGGAGGATCTGAAAATTAACATTTTATGATATTATGAAAAATGAAGTGTAGCCAAGCTGTCGAGGCATTTGAGGCTGCCCCTCTCCACCCTGTCCCCTCAAGATCCTTTGTGATCCTTCCCCTTGAGACAGGGGCCAGTGTAGGCACCACGGGCACCCGGCACCCATTTCGTCAGCATCAGGTCCCCTCCCCCATCATCCAGGAGAAACACAGTGAGGGGACGACGGTAACCCAATCATGGCAGAAAGTCCACTCTGACAGTAAAAACTTCACTTGGCATTTTTAAAAGCTCACTAAGAGTGTTCAAAGGCCAATTTTAAAAGAAACGAATGGGTTTCTTTCTGGAAAGATGGCCCCTTGGCCGCCGGCCCGTGTTTGGCTGAAAGCTGTGTTGCGCAGTCAGGAGCCGCAACTGTAGGACTGAAGCCTCCGTTTCCTTCTCCGGACATGGATTCGACTGGGGAAGCTGGGCAGCTGGCCGGAGACCCCTCCTCACAGCGCTGTGTCATCCTGAAGCTGAGGAGGCCTCCAGCAGGATGGGACAGGGGTAAGAGGGCAACCCAGCCTGAGTCAGCCCCGCAGCTTCTACCCCAGCCCAGCCACCTTCCAGCTGCCTTTGGCAAGTGACCGAACTTCCTGTTTCCTCAGCAGTAAACCGGAGATGATACTCAGAGCACTGACCACGGGAGTTTCTTGTGGGAATGGAATGAGTCCACCTCCACCCAAGGAACAGGAGGGTCCCCAGCACATAGTACGTGCTCCGTGAAGGTCACCACCACCACACTGCAGTTGTCATCCGCATTATGTTGTGTGTTGTTGCCTGAAGAACCCAAAGGTCTGGCCGCTCATGAAACCATGGAAGGCACTGATTTCAGGGTCGAAGAGAAGAAACCCAGTTTCCAACACCTGGCCATTCCACTTCTGCTAGAGCCCTTGCAGAGGCCAGGAGCTCCACACTCCATGAGGCAGCTCTTAGGTTGTTGGACACCTCTGTTTTAAAAGGCCCTCCTTCATACGTAACTGCCTTAAATTGGACCCATTGAGCCAATCTGCTCATTGACTCATGAACTTACCTATTCTATTCCAGGACCACCATATGGCAGGAACCCTGAGTCACCGGTACAGAGCCTGGCCCGAGGCTGGGTCCCGGTATCCAGGGAGAACAGCTGCAACCTAGAGATAGGGGCAGAGAGCTCAGAGAGAGGAAAAGAAAAGGAAAATCTCCCACTTAGAAAA